ATGTTGAAGTGCGTAGAGCAGATGAAACATGAGGTTAATAGAGCTGGAGTCAGGGTGGGATTAGCATTAGTTTAGCATTGAGACTGCTGACGGCTTGGCTCATTCCAAAGTTCAGATATACTTATCAACACACATGTATGTATGTATGTATGTACAGTGGTGTAGTGGGGATTTTTTTACTGGGGGGACGCTATTTTAATTAGGTCATCCCAAACAATGCCACACAAGTGCGCACGCGCGCAGTGCACTCACAAAACGGGCAGACAGGTCCACAGAAACTACCGGTATGGTTAGTCCTACTTTAGTTACTGTACTACAAAAAGCAGACAGCGCTGCGTTCAACACACACAGACTCAAAACCATGGACACACTGGCACATAAGTTACATAAACAATTTATAGGCCTAAATTGCATAAGCTATAGTATTGCAACTAAGCAGACAGCGCTGCTTCTCTCTATCTCCACTTTTAAAATCTATTTAAAACTCATAACAAACAAACAAAATTCCAAAAGTTGTTCGAATAAACGAAACGAAAAATATAGCCTACTAATGCAACATTGAATTGAATCCAGAAAATTGAATCTGGACTTGAAATTATTCTGATTAGGCCTAGTCTACATTTCATTTCATTTTTATTTGTCCCGCTCATGGTACGCAAAACCAAATGTACAATAATTGCCACAAAATATGACTCTACCATTGAGCGAAAAGGAGCAGGGAGAAGAATAAAATCTTATGTGACCTGCCCCTTTCTAAAAAAAACAAATAAATACAAATAGATGGTCTGCCCTTCATAATAATAATTTTTTTTTCACAGCCAAACATAACAGTATCTTAGGATACTAAGAGAAACACACAAAAAAATACTTATTTCCCACTTGACGGTTAACGGAAAGAAACAAAACAACACCAAAACATCACATGTATAAGGAAAAGAAAAGTGCAACACCCTCATCTGAGTCCTACTGGAGAAGAAGGTGGAAAGCGACACATGATGATAATAACAATAACAACAATAACAATGGCAATGGGACCCGCAAATACAGAGGAGACATCACATCAAAGACATCAAAAACATGAAGGACCAGAGTACATCGACGTATTCACATTCTGCTTCATATAGTCCCATCTTTCTTCATTTATACAACTTCTTTAACTGAAAAATACATATACAATTCTTTAGATCCTTGTGTTGAGAATTCCACAATTGTACACCAACTACCGAAATACACATTTGTTTAAGAGTAGTCCTTGCATATGGATGCTTAAAATTTAATTTCCTTCTGTGGTCTTCCTTGTCTGATCCAAAAACAAACAACTGTTGTAAACATGCTGGTAACATTCTGCTTGTTGCCCTGTGCATTACTGATAATGTCTGCAGCTCAGCTGTCTTTGAGTTTCAAGAGTCCTGACTTAAAAAACAGTCTGGTGTGTTCTCTTGAGTCAGCTTTATGAATTATTCTTACTGCCCTTTTCTGTAATATTGACAATGGCTTTATGTTGCTCATATACGTGTTGCCCCACACTTCTATACAATAAATGAAAAATGGCAAAATGAGTGAACAGTACAACATCCTCAATGCCTTGTAATCTAGCAAATACTTTGCCTTGTTTAGAACAGAAATAAGCAGACAACGCTGCTTTTCACACACACACTTTTCAAATCCAAGCCTTACTTTGAACTCAAGGCTCAGTTCAACCACATGTTGGAGGTATGTAGCAGCCATGAACATTTATCATTTGTTACAACAGGCACACCCACACACACACACACACACACACACACACACACACACACACACACACACACACACACACACACACACACACACACACACACACACACACACACACACACACACACACACACACACACACACACACACACACACACACACACACACACACACACACACACACACACACACACACACACACACACACACACACACACACACACACCCCTTGCGTTTTGAAGACTGATAAATCCGAAATGGATGAACAAACTTTGCAGCCCAGTTTCCCAGCTTTGCAGTCTATCCACGGGTATGCCTCTTGTTTCCTCCGCCACATCTCCTCCGTCCATACCTCTGGGAAAGGTGAGCTTGAGCTAGCCAGGGGAATGTTGCTAGCGCAGCTAACGTTAACAATAACTGCCCCTACACACGGCAGCGTGCGTTACCGCTTGGCGGTGGGCGTGTCTGAAGCTTGGGGATTTTTTACGAACAACGCGACCAACAACCAATCACATGAATGTCCCGCCCCGGACATACAAAGCAAAGCATTCATGCTACATCCATGCTGGCTAAATATACTGTCTATGCTTGCTAGCTGTCCATTCAAACGAAGTACACTGGATATAAACTCCCCAAACAGGCGAACACCTACCAGTTTCACCCACTGTCTCTGCCACCTCCCCCCATGCCTGGCTCCTCCGGTTTGTATCCCTGTATGTAAAGAGGGACTGGTCATATAGTACCGCCACGATCATTTTCTCCTCAATTTTTTTGACATATGGGAAATAACTGCGGTCTGGCTCTCCCAACATACACGCGGTTTGATTGGCTAGCGCTTGTAATGTCAGATTTGCATACGCGGGATTTGATTGGCTGACGCCTCCGTCGAGGCGGCAAAAGTAGAACATTGCTCTACTTTTGCAGCGAGCACCACGAGAGAAGCTACGCTTTGCTCCCACAATGCAGTTCGGCGAATCGTGACGTCACCCCATTCAAAGTGAATGGGCAGAAGCGTTGAAGCGGCAACGCACGCCGCCGTGTGTAGGGGCCGTTAGTGCTAGCATTATCCACGTCTTTAGGCGGCTCTTCTGATGATGAAATACTAGTAGCAGCTTCACTTGTAGCTTCGGTGCTGCTAGCCTCTTTCTTCTTGTGAATTATATTCTTTTTAGAAAAGAAGTCAAGCAAAAAATGTTTGCCTGCCATTATAGAGCTTTTTTGTTAGCGTTCTTGAAGGAAAGAGCTGCCGTAAAATCGGCGAGCTGTCCGTGGGTGTGTCACTGACACACCCCCAGCTCGCCACGGGGTCACGAGCGTGATGACGAATCATAATTTTTTAAGGAAATTTTTATTTTTTTTAATTATAATTAGGCCTACTGTGAAATGTATTATGTTTTTGTTTGTTTTTGTACGGCGTACCCCCACGTCCAACGCCCACTACACCACGTATGTATGTATGTATGTATGTATGTATGTATGTATGCATGTATGTAAGTATGCCTTTGTTACCTCGAGTCGAGACTGGATTACTGCAATGCGCTGTATGTGGGTACGGACCAGGCCTCAATTAGACGCCTCCAGCTAGTTCAGGATGCAGCTGCACGTCTTCTCACTGGCCATAAAAAGCGTGACCATATCACCCCAATTCTGGCTTCATTGCACTGGCTTCCAGTTCGATTCAGAATAGACTACTTTTATTTGTTTTGTATTTGTAAAGCCCTAAATGGGCTGGCTCCTGCCTATATAGCCGAACTCCTCCATCGCTACACCCCAGGCAGAGCCTTAAGGTCGGCTGATCAGCTGCTGTTGATAGTGCCTAAGACCAGGCTTAAAACCCGAGGGAATCGAGCTTTCGCAGCGGCTGGCCCTAGGCTCTGGAATACTTTGCCCCTCCATGTGAGGTCGGCCCAGACCCTGGGTTTTTTTAAATCAACACTTAAAACTCACTTTTTCTCTCTGGCTTTTGTTTAATTATTTATTCATTTATTTAGTTCTTTATTTTAATAACATAACATAGGATTTCATAAAGTATTTTTAAAATAGTTTATACATTATTCGAATATAGGAATAGTAGATAGGATTACTTAAAATATAGTACCTTATATTTCATCTTTTTTCCCTTTAGACCCTTGCGGTTTATTCTTAAAAACCCTTACCCACCCCCCATTTTCCCTCTGCTGGTCTATGGCCTTGTAGAGGGTAACGGGGTACAGAGTCGCTTAGATAAGCGGGGGAGTGCATCTGACGAAGAGATAGGTTGTTGTGCTCCCTATCTCTGTTTCTTATCCTATATCTAATAGAACTGCTCGGGTCTTGATAGATTGAGTGGGGAAGTTCATGAGATCTTTCTAGAGGGTTATCAAGAATAACTTTTATCCAATGACCTTTTCCCTCTCTGTCTGTGTCTGTGTATTCTCTTGTTCCGATTAACCCAGCCAAATCTTTTTTCTTGTTTTGTATCTATATCTACGCCGGGATCCGGAGTCGAGGCTGATCCTCTTGCTGTAGTCCTGTGTCTTGGATCCTCTATCCTGAGTTCTGGATTAAGTCGTGGACTTCGGGTCGTGGCTAAACCTGTCTCTGCGGTCCTGCCTTGGGTCTCGTCATGCTGCTTCCCTGATGGCTTCCACAGGATTGTAGCTGACATCCTCGTGGATTCATCTTCTTATTACAGACACATGCATTTCCTAACATTCGGTCTATATGCTGTAAAATGTATTATCTCTTCGATTTACACACGGCATCTATTGCACGTCTGTCCGTCCTGGGAGAGGGATCCCTCCTCTGTTGCTCTCCCTGAGGTTTCTCCCATGTTTTCCCTTTAAACTGTGGGTTTTCTCTGGAAGTTTTTCGTTGTACGATGTGAGGGTCTAAGGATAGAGGGTGTCGTTTTTCTCATACTGATATTCTGAACAATCTGTGCTGTTGTATTTGCTGTAAAGTGTCTCTACTGTAGGCTATTTTTATTATATGTACAGCACTTTGGCTCGACCAAAAATCGTTTATAAATGTGCTATATAAATAAAACTTGATTTGATATGTATGTATGATACCCCATAATAGGCTTAGATGACTTGAGATCTGCATCGTTATCAAACATGTCTAATATGTATTTAACCAATATACAAGCAAAAAAACAACCTTTGGTTTTAGGGGGAGTCACGTGAGGGAAGTACAGAAATATCACATTTCCTGAAAAAACATGTGACTAACCTGAAGACAATGAATACACAATAATCATGCCGTTACAGCCTGAATTTACATACAACTTTTAATAAAAATAATTACAGACCACTACAGTTGAATTCATCTGTTAACTAGTTTCACTAAACGAATAACTCGTCATCATCCAACTCTAGGATTCATTATTAGCTAAATCATGTTTGGCATGTTTGAACCATATAAGGACTCATAGGCACTTTCAATCAAATAAATCACCAACTTATCATTTGCTATTAGACACAACCTATGGCTATCTGTGCAACACCTAGTCTCTTAGATACCTAGAATACATAGAATACTTTGAGAGGTAAGGCCTCCAGTTCCATGGCAGTAAACTGGAAGAAATTGATGTTAGAAAGTTGTATCACTCTTATAATGAAGTGATAGAATTGGAATCTCAAAAAGGAAATAGCTATTTCAAAGTTCCAGAGTGAAGAATTGAAGATGACAGAAACAGTATTTTATAATTCTAACTATGTTTCCATTAGTGCATAATCCCCTGTCACTAAGAATGGTTGTGTGTTCATTATCTACATAGTTTTGTATTCAGATTGACACACACTTCCAATGCAATGTGTAACAGTACATTGATTTATAGATGTTTCATGCAAATATCTTACAAACATGCTTCATAAATGGAAAGCGTGTCAGTTACATCGTAAAGTAAAATATTAAGCAGTTTGCTCGGACCAAACCAGATCAATATGACCAACAAAAAAAACTATATTTTAAGGCCAAATTAAAACCAGTCAGTATGAATTAATCTGTTAAAATAATCACTTATAATTAATATCTGTGAAGCCCGACAATACTCCCAACATACTGCACTGTGTTTATGACCTCATCAGTAAATATCTAGTCAATATATACAGCGGAGGCTGCTCAATACGGCAATGCAAATGTCGTATTTGGCCATATTATTTTAAATACAAATACTTATCTATTAATAGAAGATAAGGCTTTATGTTTGTATTCCATTTGTAGGGTTATCCAGATGATGCTTTATAGTAACTTATTGTATTCCTTCTGTTTTTGATATAGTTGTGATCAACATTACTCCCGAATTTGATTGCCGAGACAGATTAAGAAACACGAGCAGACAGTAGGGAAACAAAGCCCCCCCCCCCCCCAACATCTTTGGAAGAGAATACAGGTGAAAGTAGCATGCAGACCTGCAAACTGAAGGTGAATTAGGTGACAGTTGGGAATCAAAACCCATTTAGGAACCCACCCACCCCCCCCTGCTCACACCACACTGCAGAGGTATGTGTCAGACGCACTATAAGAACAAATGGTCAAGGTAGCTGGGATATGCTAAGCCAATGAGTGTATAGGTATATGGTATTGAAGTGCATGTTGAAATGTCACTTTGATAAAAGCCTCAACTAGATGACATGACATGTATTGTATTGTAATGTAATCTACAAAAATATATGGAGAGTTGCCAGTCGCCAGTAGTTATTTCAGGTGATATCAACCCTTTGATCACCAGTTAGGGGGTTTAGGTAACCTTCATTACATCCCATCTGATTGTTCGTGTTTTCATGTTCCCAGGTGTCATTACAGTTTTTTAAAACTGATAGAAATGATGACCAAAGCTACAACAAAACATCTAGTTATGACACACTGGATTTACCGTTCAAACAAGAGGCACATTTATCCATCCCTAAAGTAAAAACCAGCTGAAACATAGAGCAGCCTTTTTTAAATGCACTGTAGGGACCAAACGCATGTATTAAGCATGTCAGTGTTTCTACAACGATTAGTAGTTGTCCTCAGCCTGCTGTTTGTTTCATGCACTTTTGTTCACATTTCTGTATGAGGAGCAACAGACTGGATCAGTGTGAGGGTGGGGGGGTGGGTAGAGATGTATGGGTGCTGTCTCCACCCTCTAATGTCCTCTCTGATCCTCACTATGAGCTCGTCATGATGCCCCCTCCTCTCATCATACACTGATGCTCCTGCTGTGCTGCTTGATGAGGCTGTCCTGCTTCACTTTGCCCACGGCCTCCTTCTCCTGCTGTGGCCCCCCTGTCTCTGCCCCCCCTGTCTCTGCCCCCCCGCTGACCGGTTCCTCATTACGCTTCCTGTCTCGCTCCCACTCCCCCCCCGGCACGCTCCCGGCGTCACTCATGTCCCCCAGGTGCTCCACAGAGTCACACTTCTCCAGGTCCGAGGCGATGGTCTGCAGGCTGATGACGGACATGCATTCTGAGGGTGGGCGCCCCCCCCCCTTGCCGCTCCCTCTGGCCCCAGCCACTCTCTCTGTGCCTCTCCACCCACAGACGGGTTTTCTCCCCGTCTGCCCAGCTGCTCTCCATTCCCCCCACAGCCCTGACCTCGGCCTCGGCCCCCACAGGAGAGCTGCGGCCCCCGCACCCCGCCAGCCGGCCCCTCTGAGCGTGGATCTGCTCGCTGATCTGCTCCAGGTTCCGCAGGGCCACAGAGTAACGGGACTTCACTTTCGCCACGCGCTGCTCCAGCTCTACTACTCTGGCCTTGTGTTCCTGAAAAAAGGTGAACAGCAAGTTAGCAAGACACAGTCACACTTCTCTATTCTCAATTTTACTTTTATTTAAAGTCTGACTCCAGGCACGCTCTCAAGTATGGAAAAATACTCTGCTGTGTGTTATATGTTCTTTAACATGGGTTTTTTTGTTGCACTTTTATTGTCATTACACAGTACAGGTACTATGTAAGCAAATGGTTTCTCTGCATTTGACCCATCCTAGTCTTAGGAGCAGTGGGCTGCCATCGTGTGTTCCAAGTTAGCAGCACTTTGATTTGTTTCTGTCTCTGTCTCAGTTAGTACGATACGATACGATACGATATTACTTTATTGTCAGATCAAGTCTGAAATTTGACTTGCGTCACAGCAGCTCCATGTCCAACATCAACAGACAAATATGCATACACAAATACATGAAACACAAACATTTAACATAACAGCACAATCAGTGAGAGAAAAACATGCTCAAAGAGCCTTCAGCGTGCATTTGGTCTGGGATTTAGCTCTGTATTTACTGTGAGGACAGACTGATGCACAAAGGAGTGCTTCAGTCTGACTTTAGTGTTTGTCTCATTCTTGTTTTTGTTGGCTTTAACTACCTCTTGTGCATACTGACATTTTATAATTTTTATTTAGCTTTTTAGACCTGTTTTTAAATTGGTCTGCTGCGCTTTTATAAAACGTTTTAAAAGCTTTTAAAAGTGTTTGGGCTGTTGGTCATTTTGTGCCGGTGCCTCGCTGCGACTGGATTGTTTGCTCTCTGCCTGAGCTGCCGCTCTTTTGGACTCTGGATTGCTGTCTGTCCTGCCGTGCTGTCGGGGGCTGATCGACCTGAGCTGCTGATCGACCTGAGCTGCTGATCGACCTGAGCTGCTGATCGACCTGAGCTGCTGATCGACCTGAGCTGCTGATCGACCTGAGCTGCTGATCGACCTGAGCTGCTGATCGACCTGAGCTGCGGATCCTGAATTGGGTGTGTTGCAGCACAATGTTGCCTAAAGCTACCCTTGTATTCGCTTTTTACTCTATAACAACATTAAAATGTATGAAATATACTTACATTTAAATAATAATGGTTTGATTATTAAATAATAACTTACAGTTCTTATTTGTGTTGCATTTGTGGATAAAACCCAAAGAACATTTAGGATATAAATACTGGTCAGATATCCACCAGATATTTTAGGGATTTTTGTCTCTCTTGGAGAAATTAAATTGCAACATCAAATACAAAAGTTAATCTGAAACAAACTCAAATACCATAATGAAATTAATCCACAAGTTATGATTGTTATTATAACTTAAATGTTATACCTGGAAACACAAATACACAACCGAAAATAATACATTTAATATGCTCGTCTCTTGTCCTGGGTGGCAGATTACGTCACTTCCGTCGCCTAAAACCCAGGAGGGGATCTAGCCGCTGCTGCACTAGCTAACGCTACATTAGCAAAACAAATGCTATTATATATATATATATAATATAATACATTTTATTTTTTTTTGCAAAAGGTGCAGCGGGCTTCAAACCCCTCCACTGGTTTCAACCAAGCACTAAATTCAATGTTTTCCAACCAAATTTAACTTACACTTCCCCATATTTGTTTGTAAATAGATTCGAAGATATCTTAGTTTCTGACTGCTGCTAGCTTGGTTGCTAGGTTACTAGCTGGGTGTTCTCCGATAAGGGGCCGGGGGAAACAAAGTTAGTGATTACTGGTTCCATGTTGATTTATTTCAATACAAATTGTTGGGGGGAACTGAAAGGCTATTACGTATTGGTTACTTTGCATCCCGGACATTTCCCCCAAAACACATTTAGACGTGATCGCAACACAGAAGTACCTTTCAAATCCGATCATTTTTAAGACCTTCTAAATCATATTTAAGACCTTTCTTATTTTTTGGTCATATTTAAGACCTTTTTAAGGCCTTAAATTCATATTATCAAATGTAAGACTTTTTAAGACCCCGCGGGAACCCTGAACAACACAATATAAGAAACACTTCAAAGGGACTGGAAACATTTCCACTCTTTCTCTCTTATTGAGAAATGTTGGGTTGGTGATAGGAAACAACAGCTTACAAATACCGCTGTGTCAGCAAATTGAACAGCTGAGGATGCCACAAGCCTTAACAGCTAGTAAGATAGAACTATATATGAAAAACAAATAAACATCAGCAGGAAACCCTCAAAGCTCTCCACAATCTGCTAGCCCATATTTTGGTTCCAATCTCTCAACTTGAACCTCACAAAGTTTTATTGGAAAATGGAAGCAACTGGAAGTATCTGCAAAGCTGCGGGCAAAATGTTAGATTTTCAGAATTCAAATGAAAGTCAGTGAAGGTTGAATGCTTTCACCAGCAGTTTCTAATGCCTCAGATCCACAAATGTGTGCATGTTAAGATAATGATATCCCCTGTGACACATTTTGCAGACTCTGCAGCTAGAACTAGCCACAGGTAAAGTACATCAGCAAAAAAAGCTGCTGAGTCATGTGCAGTCCCAACTGATTCATGGTCAGAAAGGAACATGATCAGCTGCTGGCTTACCATATGAACACATGGTGTGTGTGTGTGTGTGTGTGTGTGTGTGTGTGTGTGTGTGTGTGTGTGGTGTGTGTGTGTGGTGTGTGTGTGTGTGTGTGTGTGTGTGTGTGTGTGTGTGTGTGTGTGTGTGTGTGATGTTGTAACACATGATAAATGCTCATGGCTGCTACATACCTCCAAAATGTGGTTGAACTGAGCCTTGAGTTCAAAGTAAGGCTTGGATTTGACGATGACCTTCTTCAGGGCTTTCTGCAGAGTCTGGACCCGGGCCTCGGCATCCTGGCAGAGCTGCGTGACGCGCTGGTGCTCCCGCTCGCTGCGGAGCCGCTCCTCCTCCGCCTCGTTCACCTGAGGAACAGAAGATATGATATTTATGTAAATGTCCCCTTTGTGGGGCGATTAAAGATATTCTAATGACTGAGAGCAGGAACACGGCGGGATGACACAAACCCCACATTACCTTGTGTAGCCCTGCCCCTTTACCCACTTCCGGTTCAAACACAGTGTTGGTCCTTCCGGTTTAGCGCTAGCAGCATTGTAAACAATTCATTTTATTCAAGATCATTTACAGCTACACTGCGGTGATCGGATGGTTTCACAGCATCAATCCTGTTAGTGGCTGTGAGGGTGACATATCAAAATGGCCCAAAATCTCATATGAGGGCATTTTTCATAATCTGTCGTGTCTTGTGGTGTCGAAGACCCCTGCTATGAGGAGCTACGAAGAGTATCAAATCACATCAGCCGGTCAGACTGCAGACTAAAGCTCATGTGGACAGTATATAAGTTAACCTAGAGATAGTCTTGTAGTCAAGACCACCTTATCTGAGAGCAAGACATTACCAAGACCGGAGAGTAGCAAGACCAAGACAAGATCATGACTTTAAGAGGTCGAGACCAAGTCAAGACCAAGACTTTAAGAGGTCGAGACCAAGTCAAGACCAAGACTTTAAGAGATCGAGACCAAGTCAAGACCAAGACTTTAAGAGGTAGAGACCAAGTCAAGACAAAGACTTTAAGAGGTCGAGACCAAGTCAAGACCAAGACTTTAAGAGGTCGAGACCAAGTCAAGACAAAGACTTTAAGAGGTCGAGACCAAGTCAAGACCAAGACTTTAAGAGGTCGAGACCAAGTCAAGACAAAGACTTTAAGAGGTCGAGACCAAGTCAAGACCTTAAGAGGTTGAGTCCAAGTCAAGACCAAGACCAAGGCAGGGCAAGACCGAGTCAAGACTGGAACCAGACTACTGTGAATCCAACCCTACATGATACACTTACAATACCATGTGTAAGATAGCATAGTCAATTTGATCTGCAAGATCCACATCATCATCATCATCATCATCATCATCATAAAAAGACACACATACGTAAGATATAAATTCAACTTCATCATATTTTTTCAAAGAGTTATCCTTTTCATATAAAAACAATAAAATAGTAAAAACATAATATAAAACATCCTAATATACATTTTACACACACACATGCTTGTCTTTATTGCATTATGGGGGTACCTGACCAGACCATCCCTTTTGGGATCTGTTCGGGAATAATTAGCTTAGGTATTCAACCTTCGACACAGTTCATAATTTTCTCCTCTCACTGTCTCTTTTCCCGTGGCATATGTCTACGGCCTTGGGTATTGCTGCCATCTCTCTTAAGGAGGAGCAGCTTGGGCGCATTGTTGTTGCCAGTCTATGACAGAGCACAAGCCGCCATGAAGTCATTTACTGTTCAGGGACGAAGGTTCCCTGGCGCGCATTCTTTTCTATGGACGAGAGCTCTAGTTAGATTCAGGGTCCATATTTGTTTAGTCTCACTGATAAAGAATGTTGATTATTACACTCCGAACTAGATAAAACCTTGAGCTACAGAATAGTTCTTCAGAATTGGTTTGGCAACCGCTGTGTTAACTCGTGACACACCACCTGTCTTGTCAACTCTCTGGCCGTAACTCCAAATAAACCATCTGTGTTTGCCATCAAAGCTCCAACTCTCCTCGTGTCTCTCTGAGTCCTGACTCTCCATTGCTTCAGAAGTTTCCCGTACAGGATCCAACCTTTCTGAAGGTTGTACAGCACTGTAAAAAAATCAGGCAGAATCCTGAAGTGGACTCAAACAAAGATTTAACTTTAAATGATCAATCAGAGAAAGTAGAGGTCACTGACCGCGGACTATAAACCGTTTCATGGGGTCTTGTCAGGTATGAGTTACAGGAGGGGTCCATATATACACGCTGTCTGGCTTTTAGTCATGAGTGGGCTCCAAAAATATACTGTCTGGTTTAAAACTCAGTGGGGTCACTTTGCACACTGTATTACTTGACTTACTTAAGGTAACAATTTAACACATTTGACTGTCAAAGTGAGGGCTATCAGGATGCAGAATGATTTTCACCTTTAGTGTCAACATGTAGCTTCTGTTAAGTGACACAATTATATTAAATTCCAATGTACTGATAGCATTTTAATTCATATTTAAACTATTATAGTAATGTTTTTATTAGTCTATTCACCCACTGTGACACTGGCACGTATACAGTGTCAGTGTCCCCACATTGCCCCAGATATATCCCCATCTTTAGTGAAACTTTTCCACTATCCCTCGTTCAGACATTGGGTTCCTTCGTCAGGGATGTCTGGACTCGTGAATGAGACTCACAGTACATTTACTGAAATTGTATCAGTTTCCTTCTTTTTAAATAAAGAGGGGTTTGTGTTCTAAGTGTTAATTATTGAAGCCATATAAGTGATGCTTATAAGGCTATTCTACTTAAATAGTAATTGTAATTTCCATTTAAGCAATACAATGTTATTATAGAGCTTTCCAGTAAATACATGGAGATTGTCGTTATTAGACTTTTAATTTTCAAAAGAAGAACTGTATTCAGTGTACACAAAAAGGTATCACCATTTAAGAACGGCATTATTATATGACAGAGGTCCCAAAAAGGACTTAACAAACAACTTGTGGCTGATTTAAATGAGGGTCTAAGGTCACTGGAAGAATTTAACCTTCAAAACTTTTATGTTAGACATGAAGGGAGATTACTTTAAAGAGCCTGTGACACGGGTTTCCCCCATCATCCAAACCCATCAATTTGAGTAAATATTGTCCCCTTGAAAACCGTTACTGAACTGATTTGGGATATTTGTACTTTGATAACCATTAATCTGCCCTTCAATGTTGACCATTTTCTGGATCTTCTCGGGGATTCTTCAAGTCCCGCCAAATGATGTGTGACGTCATTGCGGGCACAGCGCTCCAGCTGCACCGTTCAGGATCCCAGCATCTGCATGTAAACACGATGGCGCACACAGCAGCAAGCGATGACAGCGATGACAGTTTAATTTTGAACGTGTCTGAGAGCTCATATGAGGCTGAAGGATCGCTTTATGTTGTATCTGTTAGAAGTTTAGGAATTAGGTGCGTCAATATGGGCGATCATACGGTCATGTAGCCAGTGGTGGACTGGGACTAAAAATCATCCCGGGACTCTCGACCGGCCCACTTCGGTACCGCTAGTAAATTATCAACGGGGGGAGTGGGGGATGTGCTAGTGACTTATCCGACCGGCCCACTTCGGTACCGGCCCATCGGGATTCGTCCCGATGGCCAGTCCGACACTGCGCCCAGCCCAGCCCACGTAAACTGTCAACGGGGGGGAGCCTCGCTGCGGGGAAACGGTGGACCTAGTGTCCCGATCGGAGTGGGAATAATAATAATAATCATAATCCGTGCATTTTATCCATTCATTTCCCCAACATTGTGGTAAAAAAAACACACGTTTAATCCATGTTGGTGTACTACAACTACAAAAAGCATCGGTTTGTTTTCTCATCAGGAAATGCAGACCGGCTCAAACAAACGATTTGTAATCCTCATCCTCACGATCATTTAATGTATCATATGTTCGCCGAATTGACATGAAAGCACTAATAAATGTAGTTTAATCCACTTGAGTTTACAACTACAAAAATAATCGATTTGTTTTTACATCACATCCGACGGGAGGAAATTCAGCAGCTCTCACTACCGATTTGTAATCCTAATGTAATCATCATCTTCACCACGATCATTTATGTTTATGTTCGCCGAATTGACATGAAAGCACTGACAAATATGAATATACTGTAGTCAACTTCATTAAAACGTTATTAACGTGCCTAAACTCAGTAATTCACCATTTCTACCCATGACAACACACTTTGTCCGTGTTTGGCTCTCTCGCCGCACAGTGAAGCGTTCCCGCATTGACGTCACTTCCGGCTTCCCCCAAAACTTCAAAATGAGTCGAAGGAATTTCCCCGCAATGTTCGAAATTATTGATATTTAACGGAACGGTATCGCACCTTCTTTTTTAAACTGACGGTTCGAGATGACTAGTAGCCCAATATTTCATTGCACAACAGTTGTTGGGAGGCTGTCACAGGCTCTTTAAGTAATGATATGGGATTCCAAGGTAATGACACAATAAAATGGTAGATAAAGACGAGGACACCAGATGTGGTATTTTGAGACATTGAAAGAAATAAGGAAATTGAAAGTGTGAAAAGGGACAAGATTAAATAAATTGTGTCAGGAGAAAAACAAGATAATATGAGAAACTAGAAGAGATTATAAGGTAGTTGAGATAAAAGGAAGATTACAAAAAAGAGATGAGATTTAAAAAGCATAGAGGCAAGAGAAGATAAGGTTGAAGAGATAAGGCAGGAGGAAATTGTGAATAATTCAGATAAAAGAAAAGGAGATGAGGTGAGGTATTAAGAAGAGGACATCAATGAGGGGTGAAATAAGAAATAAAGTACGATCTATATATTTGTATAGTGGCTTGCAACAAACATTTAACTTTTGCAAGCACTACACTTGACAACAACTAATGGTGTCAACAGACAGTAATGATCACTTTACATTTTGCTCTTGAGAGCTGTGATCCGATTATTTATGTAAAACTTTATGGCCAACCAATGTCTTTGTTTGAGTGCTTCTCCTTCCATTTCAAGACACTTATCGCAGTCGCTTTTCCGCAGAAAGCGACATGTGTTAATGAAGGTCATCATGTGCTTCTCAACAGCTTGGATCTCCATCTTTTCCCACAGCTTTTTCTTGAAAGGCTGCCGACCTGTATAAAAATGAAACAAATTAATTATTTTGTGTTTTTCTGGAACTGCTATGGAAAAGTTATTTGAGATAAAAAGTTGATAAATAATAACACAAGTTCAATGGCATTAAAATGATATAAACGTGGCTGAAGGTTAGTCCATAGGTTAATCCAATGTGTCTGTGTCACAAAAAATTACTGATAATCCATAATTCATAGTTTTCATATTAGCTGCTAATGACAGC